TATTATTTTTTTTTTTTTTTTTGTTCTGAAAATATGTATAAATCAAATTTTTAAATCGTACGAGCTTCGATTCCATAGAGGAAACGAATTCCATGAATTATTCTCGTCTTTAAAACGTATAAGTTGAATGTTTAAATGTGCACGATTTTCGTGCGTAGTTTTCTTTCAGTTTCGATATGAATTGTAGATATGAATTGATTGATTGTTTGAAATGCAAATACTTTAATATCTAGAGTTTCTCGTAGGTGTTGAGAACGTTGAATTCATGTTTATTAATGTTTAATATTTATAATTTATACATGTCGAGATTTTATTCAAAGCAATTCATGCGTTTAGTAAGATTTTTTTTTTCTTTGAATAGGAATTTTATACTCGAAACTTAATAAATATTGTTGAAGAACAATTTAACGAAAAACTTTTATAATTGATATATTGTATCATTGGCAGCCAATGATTACAATATAATAATGTATCTGATTCGAAGATATCGAATGTTTGAACAAATTTTTTGGTTTTGTTGCATGCTTTATTGGCCAAGTAGATTTAGAATCGCGTTCTTTCGTATTTCCATGGAAATTTCGCATCTATTGCGCTTTTTTTGTTTTTAGTGAGAATACGTTTAAAAACTTCATAAAACAAAATCGATGGATTCGGTTCAAAATAAACATTGAACCAAAAGCTGCAGTAAATAAAGAGTCGATATAAGCGATGAAGAAAATTGCTCGAAAAAATCAAAGTGAAAAGTTGAAATGATAAATTTTAATTTATCCTATTTGACATAAATGACATGGAATGAAATGTTTCGGACGTAAATGTACGTTTTTTTTTTTTTTTTTTTTTTGATAAAAATCGTTTGTGAAAAATTATTTGATACGACATATAACAAATAAAAATCTGAATCAAAGCAAATATTATGATATAACAACAAATCCATGAATTTTATACAGTAGCGGATTTTAATTTCGAAAAGAATTTGTAATTTATTATTGTAATTTTTAATTAATTAAAAATTAATGGAATAATAATTACTCGTGCTTTACTATCGTTTAAAAATTTTATGCAGAAAATTCTTTGTAAATAATTTCATATGTATGTATGTAACGTCATACAGAAGGTATTCAAAAAATTTATTGTCCAATAAGAATGAGAATTTATATGAAATTTACGCAATTGAATAATTAAAAATTATTTGCTTAAAATTAAAGATAAATAAATTATTAAATTTCTTTTATATCTAATTTCATAATTAAATTGCAAGCTGTAAAAAATAAATAAATATCCGCTCCCTCTTTAATGACACTCTATAAAATATAAATTCGAAATTATTATTTCAACATTGAACAATTTCTACTCAGACAAACCTAAATATATAAAAACTAATAATGAAACACAAGAAGCGCGTCGATAAAAAGATAAAATCCAGACATCCTTTTAATAACGAAAAATTTTATATTTCAAATTTTAATCGTGATCTTGGTGATCGGTCCATTGATCACAGGAAGTAATCAAAGCGATCGGTAAAATTTAATTCAGTCGTTGAGGGTTGTCCATATTCAACGGTGTCGACCGGTCCCTGAAATTTTTAAAAGAGCCGTAAATCCGGCGTAACTCTTACCAATCGTTCTGCCGTGAACCCCGTTGAATCCCCGCGTTGGACGAACGAGCAGGGAACATTCGTGATACTCGTTAAACTTTGATTAGACTTTGATTGCCGGCAGAAAGCGGACCGATTTAAACTAGCGAGCAGAAGTCGGTGTGTACAAAATAAAAAGAGACATCATGCCAGGAAAGGGGAGGAACGATAACGAAACGACATCCGGTGATCAAGCCACATCTCGATGGAAAAAGAATTGTGAACCTTAAAGCAAAAAGAAGTCATTCATTTTTTGATCGTTTTTTTTTTGAGATATTATGTGTAATTTTCAGCGATTGCAAGGTAATTTTATTTTTCTTTTCTCAAATTTTAATTTTAAATGCAATGTGCAAATACTTTTTACAATCATTTTGCATAGGATATTCTGATATTCTGCATTATTTGGTGTAAGTTTTATAGATAAAAAACGTACCTATCCTTTTTGTATCTTATTATTCCTTTGCAATACGAATACAGAATAATGTTATTTTTTGATATCCATAGAAAATTTCGATATATCTTCTCTATTTTTGATTAATACAAACTGCAGAGAGTCGAATAAATCGAATATTTTATTGTTCACTGTCGATATAAAGTAATTGAAATTTGCTGCAAATCTAAATTTAAAATAATATTCCAAATTGAAAACACATAGATATATTTTTAATTATAGTTTTTCTTTCTAAAGTTAAGTAATTTCGTAATTTTTTCTCTCTTTTTTTTTTAATTTTCATATTAATTGGTAAAAATGGAACTACACCCTTCCGTTGCTTCGAGGTCCTCGATTCAGTTTGAAAAAAAAGTCTGCGGCTGTCTTTCCACGGTTACATGTATACAGACATGTTTACACCAGAATATGTCGTCACCGTCGGGTGTAATTAAACTTTTTCCGTCGCGAAATTGGTTGCTCGCCACTCCCATCCCGCTGTCTCTTCAACTCGACGGCAGATTAATCGATTGCCGTGGAAAATGGCAACGGTGAAATTGCTCAGACGTAGATACGCGAAGAAGAATATGTCGTAATACGTCGATTCCAAATGGATCTTGAGTAAACGAACCGTAAATCCATCTGGCTTCCGTGATTGGAAGCTGGATACACTGTGATTTGTATTGATGAATAAGAGATGTAATTAGAGAGATGGTTGTCACGTGATGTAAATTGTGAAAATTGTTTAAATATAGGAAGATGGTAATAATACAGAGGGTATGTTTTAGTTTTTAATTTCAAATGTGTCGGAGTAGACGACAGAAAATGAGAAGAATAATTTTTAAAAAATTCACGTGAAACGTGAAAAATTATGAATCATAAAAGATTTTATAATCTGCTTCTTATATATATTGCTTTTAATAATTGAAGATAAGAAAAAGACGATCATAAGCGACAAAATTAAATTAAAAAATTGTATAATTAAAAATCCATTTAAAAAGATACATTTTTATACATTTTTCCTTATTTTATACCTAATGAATTTATTTTATTCATCGATAATTATGATGAAATTTCAAGAAGAAAAATGCAGGAAATACAATTATAATGAAATACAAGATTGAAATAGTATACGTGCAGGAATTGGAGAACATTTTATGTTGTAACACTTCAGGGGGATGAAACGAATTTTTAATCGCATCACTTTCAACAATCCTCTCTCCGTACAATTCTTTTTTATTGTCG